CTGCTAGGTACTTTAAGCAAGGTGCTCCTCTAGAAATTGTCATCACTCCAACTTTTTATATGAGCGTTAAGGGAAAATAATATTTTATTTGAGACTCATAGAGTCTAATAAAAAATGTTTCGTGCAATGTCTTTTTTCTATACAGGGTATTAATGCTATCAAGTAGAGTTTTCCGATTAAAAAATACAAAAAAAAATAACTTGACTTGAAAATCTTTATAACAGATCCTATAATTTTTTGTATAGTCTTCAATCTGTTTCTCTTAACCTTCATACAAATAAGTTACAGAGATGCCAATTCATTCACACCTTTAAAGCATCTAAGCCGTGAACAAGCGCTCCCTGCACCTCTATCGGTAATGAGTCGACCAAACATGCTTGACCATTTCATGAAGTAGCTTCGCATTTAATGGATCATACGAGAAACGGTTTGTTATTATTGATCTGCTCAATGCACATCATGGATAATCATACATTTCGTAAAATATCGAGAATTTCATGAAAAGGGCAAGTTTGCGATGTGGTCACGGCATATCAGAAATTACCGGCTTCCAATAATCCCTAGCGATATATAACCACATACCAATTTATCTATTTACTTTTCTGTACACACCAAGCACCATGAATTGACGGTAAATCTTTATCAGCTATAGTTGTGGTCACCATTCTTGGCGGGTCAAAGTAAGACTACCAGTATCCCCTTATACAGGGTGTTTCAAAAACGATAACAGAGATAGTTTTTGGTAGCTGCATTCCATATCACCTTAGTCATGCTATCGTATTTGTGAAGTTTGCAAGAATTTAACAAAAATTAATCGTTGCTAATGGATAACTTTACCAATCAAGAATTGGCGGATATGCATTTGGCATACGGTGCAACAAGCTGCAATGCACGAGCAGCAGCGCGGTTGTATCAAGAACGTTATCCCGACAGCATCCGGGATACAAAAAATGTATTGCTATTAATCCGCGGCTCTCCGAGACAGGCATGTTTAACACCAACATGCATGATACTGGTGTTGCTCGAACCGTAAGAACGGTCGTATTTGGAGAAGAGGCCCTTTAGCGAGTTGCAACGAACCATCAAGTATCACACGTCACATTGCTGATGATATGAATACGAGTAACGCTTCCATCTGGCGGGTGCTACACGAGCTAGAACTCTATCCTTACCACTTCCAGAAAGTTCAAGGATTGACTGCATCCGATTATCATCCTAGAGCTCAATTTTGTCAATGGCTTTATCATCAAATCGCTGCACAACCAAATTTTTACGCTATGTTTTATGGACCGAATAAGCCTCTTTCACAAGAGACGGCATTTTTAATAGTAGGAATAGCCACGTTTGGGACAAAGGAAATACCCATGCAATTTTTCGTAGAAAACATCAGCAACGTTGGTCTATCAAACATTTGAGTATGGGTCCCTATACTCAAATGTTTTCTACTATTACACTGAATAACCAATAGAAGTTTGATCCCTTAGTTCTGAAACACCCTGTATATCTCCCTCATACATACACATGCAACCTACTCAAGCTAAAGACATACGTTTTTTAGTTGTGTATCTGCGTCTCGAAAAATTTGTCCTTACGTATGAGTGCCCTGCAATCATATTTGTCAGAGTGACAACTTACTTGACATCGGCATGCAATTTGAGCTGTCCTATGGATACATGTAATTGGATATTGCGACTTTTTTGAAAAAAAAATATTTTACAAAAAATGTTGGGCCTTGTTTCTTGGTAACGAATCATTAGCTTAGGTATATATGCATGAGGCAGAATCAGTCAAGGCATCGATTATTGAAATTCGGTTAGGTACTTTGTGAACACCATGTAGAGAGATATTGGAAAGTTACTTTTTCCTCTTCTTGCTGTATAAACTTATGGTCGAGAAAAGTTTTATAATAACTGTAATGGCCATTTCAAAAAGTTCCATTTTTTAAGCTGCTTTTTTTACTGAAAATGCTTCATTGAAGATAGACGCGTGGTTATATACCCTGTAAGTTGATACATTTCTTCCCCTTCAACTTATACTGCGTACTCAATGTTCATTGCATAAACAACATAAGCCCAGGAATGGTTTTTCCATGCACTACTCGACGGCGAGTACTTGAATGGGTCGTTTCAAAAACAATACCATGGTCCGTGATTTGTTTTATTTCGATATTTATGTGCTATGTTCACCAAATTACCTTTTTTAAATTCTTTAACCACAAAAGCAAGCTTACCGGCCAATACAGTATATATTTATTTGAGATTTTTCTTGTTTCCTGCCAGAGCTATTGACTCAGTCATCTGTGTGACTGAGAAAGTTTTTAATTTCCCCTGAACATCCTACTGTGTATGAGTCAGAAGCGCGAGAAGCATACAATGTGTATGTTAGAAAAAGTGCGCCGATGGCGTCCGTGGCGTCGACGCTTGAGTTGCTAGGCAACGAGGTGCTTCTGTCTCTTTCTATCACACGTTTTGCACGCTTTTCGCGCTACTTTCTCTCTCGCACATATTACGACTTCGGTGGTTTTTGGTTTTCAGTGTATATAACAAAGGTTTATATCACGAATTGTATATTGTCAATGATGCCGGTCGTTATACTAATACTACAAAATGAAAATATAATTCACAATCAAGCATTCAACAATTCCTTCAGTAGTCCTACACCTACTAACCGCAGTTCTTTCGGTAATCCCTTACGATAATTTCGTTATCTCGCCGCCGTTTTCTTCTCTATGCCCAAATCCTCCCTTTCACAGCCATGGCCATCCAGAGTAATCCAAATTGCGACATCGCCATGTCTATTAGAAACGGCCCTGTTGCGGCTTGTGGCAATGGCTACGACGCTTCCCCTTCAGCGGCAATGATGGCCGTTGGGATCCTTATGCCTGAGTTATATCCGTAAACGGACACTTTAAATAATAGTCAAGTTAAATTAAGAAAAATGAATTGTGATTCAGTTGGATTATTTAACAGCCACATATCACCCCTATGGCTCATTCCAATTATTCATTTTACCTCAAATTCCGTGGTTGGTTGCCTTTTTTACGGCTTTAACTAAATGATGAACTGAGCACATAACTACAAATCATGATAAGATTGTCCCAATGGTCGGAATCATGATCATCAACATTAAAATAATTCGAATGATGATTAAATTCATTAGTTACAGCGATTAACATACACCCTAGTAAAAAGCTGCAAGATCGGTGTTTGATGACGTCATTGTCATGATGACATCGAAATTAATTTCAAGGGTCGATATTTGAATAAGCACCTAGGTACAAAATTGTAACTATGGTATCTGCCTTTCCTTGCCATACCGTCCAGTATGAGGTTGTGTTGCTGGTTATTTAGTCAAAACAATATACTATACATACTTATGGTACTTTCATAAGGAATATTCCAAAAGCAGCAATTCCATCAAAGTACAGCAACTGTATGCCTGTGTGCACATTCAGTTTAACTGTACTATAAGGTAATGCCAACCTCCACTGCCTAAAGGGCGGTAGCCTACCTCTGAAGAGCCGACGACAAATCCAGGACATTTGAGTGGCCATTACGGTCTCTGTTGCCGACGTCTAACAAAAGAAATGATTATGATATATTAGTGGGTGGATTTCTCCTAGAATCCGCATCGTACCTGCCTTAGTTTGTTTCAAGTCGAAGAGGATTCCATACGTTGCATAACGTTTGATTTATAACAGGAGGTTGTACCGATATTCACAATATGGAAGGTAAATTATATAGATGCTATGCTTTCCACATTTTGAAGTCACTACCAAGGTTCTATCAAAAATTAGATTGTTTGTTCTACAGTCGTTAGATCATCTTTTGAAATATAGGAGTAATAGTGGCGTTTAAGTTTAACTCTACCCACCACGATGAAATGCTGAAAGTATTACTGTAGTAGATTAAGGGGGTTTTAGTGAGTATGCTGCATTCTGGAGAATCTCACACTTCGGGCGGAAAAATACTTACAGGACAGTGTTGCCGAGCTTTCCTACCAGAGAGTGCCTATAAAAGCCCCCCCCCTGTCCAAAAAATGATATCAAATAATGCATAACCTGAGTTGGAAGCGTGCCAAAAAGATGGGATGTATTTTCAAAAACCCCCATTTTTAACTTTTGACAAAAAAAAACATCTGAAACTGTCTCTGAAACCTCAACAAACTGAGTTTCAAAGACTTTTTCGGCCCTTCATGCCGCCGCCACTGGACCCATTTTTAAAAACTACAAAACTCTTTTTGTCCTTGCCATAGTAGGAGGTATCAGGCGTGAAAATTTCATCAAAATCCGAGCGGTACTTTCCAAGCTATAGACGGGCGAAATTTTAGATTGAACTTTGGAAGGCATCTTTTGCCGTTTTACGATCGTAGAAACAAGTGAAATCACTAAGAATATATTCCCAAGAGTCATGGAAAAAATTTTAACATTCCAACGACATCAAAATTCTGAAAATACCCTATCCTAGGTTGGTTGCTGATTGATAGTGGAATGTTTCGTAAAAAAGACATATAAATGATCAATGAATCTGTCAAACGGACAATCTTTATGAATTATGCCCTAGGAACACCATTATGTACTTTACACTAGCCTGCTGTTGTCATACTATCTGCATATTTTGCGCGAAATTTCGTATGTATGACATTACCATTACGGGACACCCTAAAGATCATGTAGGTTTATCCGCCACTTCTGATACTAAATTCTCCATGATTCCTTACTTTTGATCGCTTGAAACCCCTTAGATCCTATTGTTTGATGTTGGCACTTTTGGCTTTCTGTAACCGGACTCCCGCTTCCAACTAAAACAGTCTCTTACCTTCCAGGTCCCAACGGCTGTCCTAGACGACGGGGCCGACAGACGTACACCCGCTTCCAAACCCTGGAACTGGAGAAGGAGTTCCACTTCAACCATTACCTTACGAGGCGGCGACGAATCGAGATCGCGCATGCGCTCTGCCTCACCGAACGCCAGATCAAGATCTGGTTCCAGAACAGGCGGATGAAACTAAAGAAAGAGCTGCGCGCTGTCAAGGAGATCAACGAGCAAGCGAGGAGAGAAAGGGAAGAACAGGAGAGACACAAGCAACAGCAACAGGAGAAGCAGCAGCAGAAGATGGAGCAACAGACCCACTCTACCATCCACCAACACCATCACGATCCCATGAAGATGGGTCTGGAGAAGACGGGCAGCTCGGATCTGCTCAAGGCTGTTTCCAAGGTACCTACTTAAAACACAGCCATCGCGGAAATGTCCTGAGTTGTTTTTTTGTGTTGCGAAACGTAGTGCGGGCGGTGTACGGGAAAGCTTCGATGCGGAATTTCGGTTAATGCAATTGCACCATTGCGAGTCATCTGAGAAATCCGTTTTTATGAATAAAGTTAGCTCGAAAATGTAGAAGACATTCGGATTCGTATCAAATGAATCCTTCAAACGAGGACTAAGATATTAAAGAAAGCCCATTAACCTGTCCATGGATTAAGGTGCCCCTGAATCACAACAGAAACAGCAGTGTGAGAAGATATTCACAAGCTAAAATGTTGAGATAAATGGGTATTCTCAAATGACTGTGCTAATTGCTATGTGAAGTAACTTAGCCACCACTGAGCCTGAACGAATGAAAACATAAACATTATTTTCTTTAACAGTCAGCGGTTACTTAAGAGTGGCGATATAAATTCTTTCACTCCATCAACCTAAGAGCTACTGCATTTCAAATTATCGCTCTATTTTCTCATCCAGTAGAAAATGACAATTTTATCTCTTATTGCTCGAGTCTCTTCTGATGATAAAATAGTTAAACTAGACCGAAAGGGAAGTGTGTGAAGCGGTGCACATTCTACAGTAGTAGTTCAAACAGACCATAACTCAGATGTCACAGTTGACCTTGCTAGTAACACAAAATCAAAGTCTCGGCATTCTCACATTCAGCCAATTAAAGGTAGAGTGAAAGAAAACAAACTGAACTTAGCCAAACATCTTCATAATTATTACTCAATAAATTTGTTGGTGGCAAATGAAGCGCTCGATATAAATTTCACCAATGAGTGTTTATCATGTGTCACTTTTTCTTGGATTTGAACCGGGTTGTTGGGTATTAAAATCAGGCTCGCTTGACTAATTACTTCATAGCGCAGTAAGAATTATGGTGTTAGATCTATTGCATCAAGAAAAGAAGTGGTTTTCGATAACATACCGCCCACACTAAAACGCGAGTGTTAAAAAGCAGACTTCCACGAAGCAGGGATTTTTGTTTCGTTTCGCTTCGTTGTGTTCCAATCGGTTGTACATAATAGTAGTGTGTTCACGTTAATATTTTTTATACTTAAAAGTACTTTTTATATAGCGATTTTCTAAGTTATACTATTATCGATCAGTTTTCTGATCTAAACTTATTCTCACGTTATTTTACGTACCCGTTGTTGTGATTTATTTGATTAATGGTTATTATTTAAGTTTTAAATGCGCATTTCGAAATGCAATTTATTATCTTCATGTTTCTGCAGTGGTATTTTCTTTGAACAGCCTTCATTTGGTTTGAGAATTTGTATTTTGTTTGTTCTGTGTTGATTTTCTATTTCCAATATTTTGTTGATAGTCATCCAGGCCACTCAGCATTTCCAACATTTCTAGCTATTTTCAAGTTGATTCCAATTCCTCACTCGTCGAAACTTTGACATAGATTTAAGAAATTGAAGCAGCATGGATTGTACTTGCCAACAAAACCATATTCTTCAGTAATGCTTGCCTTTATCGTCTATTATCATGTCGCATATTCGTTAACAACATCTTGGAATTGTGACGTTTGAGGTTTGTTGATATACAGTGATACTGATAGTTGTTCACAGCACAAATAACTGGAAACATCGTTTCCTGTTGTGTCAATCAAGAAATAAATTCCATCAAAAATGCATACCCATTAAACATGAATAATCCGTGATTTTTTAATAAGGAGCCATACGAACGCCCAAATATCTCTTCTGCATCAGTGATGGAAGAAATTCATTGTACGTTTGAGATTATGCTGTTATTCCTGCCGAAGAAATTTTTGAATCGCTGATTGGCCTAGTACAAGTGCAAATATTCAGAAACGTCCCAGTGATTATCTCAAACCATACCGAGGCAGCCATTTTAGTTTGTTATTTGTTATGTTTTCTTTGTTTTTTTAATATTGTGCCAAGCTTCTCAAGCAAACCGCCATAAGATGACAGATCGTTGATTATATTTTTGCATAGTAACCGAAAACCAGTAAGTAACAAAACTGATAAACTAAGGCTTGGTATATACGAGCGTTAAAAAAACGTCCACTGGAAAACGTCATAACAATATTGCACTGAACTTACGTAAAATAGATCTTAGATACCTAAGATGCTGAAGCTTACTGGTATTATGAAACATTATTTAGTTTTTGCCAGGTTGTGATTTTATATAAAAGCATTGTCTCCATGGTGAGGTGGCGTATTTTTGACGCACGTGTATCCCCATCCTAAAACGGCCGAGTGAGTTTACTCTTAGTACTCTTATACGTAATTTGGTGTCAGGGTAGAAATAAAAAGCATTTAATACCGTTCAGTAGAATAAAAACAAAAATATCTTTCTCTAAACGTAATGAAACCATAGTATCCATTTTAAGAGTTATAATCAGTTTTGTGGTTCCAAGCAGTTAAGCTTCTGAATAACAAAATAAATGAAATTTAATGTCGGTTTTGTCTATTGTCGGCACAAAAATTGTTTACTTCTTAAACGGAGTGGATAGAAATAGAATTTGAAAAGAAAAATGTATTCTAAAAGAACAACAAGGTTTCATGCTTCACTGTTTAGTACCACAAGACTGCGAGCGTACTACTTGTCGTGTACTTTACCTTGTAAAATATTTTCTTATAGATTCGATGTTGTTTTGTGAATACAATGTAACACTTCGTCGAGGACGTATAGGCCTCTCCACAATTAGATACGTAAAATTGTACAATATTTTCAAAAAGTAAACTTAAAAGTGACCCGATATTGTAAATTTAATATTGAAAGTGTACATTTTTTTGTTTTATATGTAAAAATATACACGTATACGCGAACTTTGTTGGTTTTTCTTGAAGTTGATCCATCCTGATAGTGCAGGCAATCTAACTTTCAGTTGTTTTAATGTGTGTGTTAGTGAAGGACTCTTAACTGTTAACCTGTATAAGCTATGGTCTAAATAGAGTACGTATTACAGTAAGCAGTTCGAAGTGAAAGTACTTTCTTTCTTGAACACTTTATACTTTTGGAACCAAACCATCCATTAGTGATATATGTGGATGAATTTGGTTATCAACAGCCTATAACCGTTCAAAATTTCTTGTCCGACAAAATCCCACTCCGAAATAATCAGAATCCTGTTCATTTTGAGCTGCTTCTATAACAATATTGTTAACCAAAAGCGGGAAAGCCAAATCTTAGTAATCCTGCTGATTCTTGCATTGTAGATGTAAGATGCCTCAATTCATAAAAAATACACCCATATATTACTACATTTATACCTAATGTCAGTCTCGTCAGATTCATTTCACATCATATTAGTTCATAATAAATCAAGTCCAAACAACACACCGTAGTAACTAAGCTTAATGATCCGCAAAGAACGTTTTATTTTATTGCATAGAATTTAATTGCAACTACAACTGTTACGTACGAAGATAGTATCTTTATTCGATATTTATTACTATCAACTTATACTGGAAAGTTAAAAGTTATAGAGTGGTAGATTTTAAGTGTATGTTGGGGTTCTCCTTTTCAGACACAAGTACGCTTGCTATCACAAAACTAATGTGTGGTGAAACGTGAGCGAACAAGTAAAAAAAAATAAATCAATAAGTTCTCACTGTTTTCAGTTGAATTGAAATTCCAAGTACGGCTCTGTCGTAAAATCCGTATTTACATCGTAGTCGTACGTCGTATGACTGTACGCTGGCGCTGGCGCTGTGGACGTGATCGAGGGATATGACAGGACCGGCTTTGGTTTGGTTTAGGTTGGAGCCCAACATCTTGGTTCTCTTAAGACATTGGTGTGTATGCTACTAAGAAAATCCGCTTACTTTCTCAAGATCCACATGTCGTGTAAAGGAAAACCCCAACTTTGTATTATAATTGTTTGCAAATCGTCCATAGCATAATTGCTGAGGAAAGTCAGACTTTTTATTAAGTGGTTCTCTCAAATAATTTGTTTTGCACACTTGAAGGTGTTTGCTATAATTTCCAGAACCTAGCTGAATATGCTGGTGTTGCAGTTAAGTTCTATGCCCGATATACTCTTATAAAATTTGTACAGATACATTTGTAAATAGAGTAGGAATAGGGCTTTAGGCTTAGAGAGTATCCGACATGGACTGATGCTTTTTATTTAATAAAAGGCTTGTAATTTATAGCGAAACATTATAAAGGTAAGCAGTAAGATATAGTACAATTACCAATGGTTAACTTGCCCCGCTATGAAATATATAACCATTAACCTATTTATGTATTTCGTAAGAGAAGTGTGGTGTTCTGATTTTGTAGAATCCGCCCTGTTGCATTCTGGGTGAATGAGGTACAATCTGCGAAAATCAAGTCTGCCAATTTTGGCCTAACAAACAATCTTAAAACCTGCTTAAAATAATCTTAAAATACTCTTCGTGGTCTCGTAGAGCAAGGCTTAGCTTTAATCCAGATACTTTCTGACCTGAAAAATTATTATTTTTAACCGAGTTTTTTGGGTATACTCGTTGTTAGAGTTTACAGACATTAAATCTCTTATAGTTCGAAAATGACCAAGTTACCGGAAGCCTTTATTGTTCCAGATCGTCGGTCTCCGCACGTAGCGGCGTAACTAATATTTTAAAAATTTTACAGGAAAGCTAGAAAACGAAAATCAGCAATAAATAGGATTGAAAATGACATACTGATTTTTTAGTCTGCACTTTGCTGTTTTTTTTTTTGTTGGACTAAAATTATGTAGAACTTTGTTTTGGGATGGTTTAATTTCAGTACAATGAGTTAAAAAAGTATTTTTTGTACATTTACGCCACTTGGTGACGTCTCTTGTTTCTTTAATTGTGTAGTTACGTCAACAGTTTAAAACTGGACATGCGTATCAAAGTACTGTTTTTCAAAAAATTATTATATTCTCTACATAATATTATAAGTACAAACAAATCACAACAAAAATAAATATTTGGTTTAAGTCGACATTCACAACAACACAACAATATTTATAGGTT